TTTTTTTTTTTTTACAGATCCAGACTTTTTTCAAACCCATAACCTGTTCTTTCTTTTACATGTCCAAACATTCATGAAATTTGCTTCACTCATTGAAGGTGATTTTAGGAATTGAGAAAAGTTTTTCGAAATGACCCTCAAATTATAAATAGATGTTGCACCGAATCCCGATTCCGTAACAAAATATTAAACATTGTGACTGATTTTACTAGACGAGGTTGAACTTTCGCAGGTTCAATAATGATCGGAAAAAAAATCGATGAATGTGTATGATTGGATACCAAAAATTCTGATGGGAAAAATGGGCGAGGTCAAGAAGAGTTGTTTCCTGTCCTTCGGTCAATGGAAATGTTCGATACAAATAAAGGGCCACGTCCGGTTCACGTCATCAGCCATCGGAAACGCGTTGATGCTTCCGGTAGCTATGCAAGATTAAAGCGCAAAAGGAAGCTAAAAATAAAATAAAAAATGCTGGAAAACAAAAAGGTTTCCGAAGCCTGGACACACCTGTGAAGACCTGTCTTATTTAACTATTCAGGAAAGGTCTCCAAACAAGTGATGGACAAAAGCACATACTGAACATCGGCAGTTTTCCGCATATTTGTTTTTTTGCTTGTTCTTTTGAAAGCTATTCTTGGCTGGCTTTTTTGTTGTTGTTGTTGCTTCAAACGTTGAACAAACATGCTCAGAAAATAAACGAAGGAATTTTTGGCCCCCTTGCGGAATTAAACTGATTTTTTTTTGGACTTTGAAAGTCCACGAGCTGTTTTACGATCACGAAAAAAAAATCTATACTTATCTGAACATAGTTGCGTTTTACAGAAATATCAGCAAGAGAAGAAAAAAAATTGGTAAGAAAGAGCTGCAATTAAATTATTTTCAAAGTTGTCGCTGGAGCCAGGAAATTCACTATTTCAACGACCGAAATTTATTAAATTTACCAAGTGGACCTCAAAATCATCATTAATATAGAATACAGTACAATTTTCGGTTGGAATATTTTTGAATTTCCTTGGCCATTCTTCCTTGATGAAATTGGGAAATTATTATTAAAGGTTCTCCCCCTGCAGCCAGAAAATTCAGTATTTCAATTGCCAAGATTTATTAAAATCACAAAGTGGACCTCAACATCATCGATTATTGAATTTGTTTTTCTGTTGGACGATGTTTGAATTGGCCAGCCTTCATCGAAAATTTAAATCAAGAACCAACACCCGAAACCCTTTTCGTCAATGCAAATTCACCACACGTACACTACACTTTATTTTTGGCATTTGGACCTTTGCAACAAAAAAAAAGCATGACTAAACCACAGGCTTTGCCAAAAATATTCGAATCCCGAAATCGCGTGCTCTTTTATAGGAAATAGATATGAATTAAAGAGGGCGTCTTCGTGTGTCCCGAAAACCTGTTCCTCCCACAATCCCAGTGTTCCTCGCTGCTGCAAAAATTCGGGTTCCGATTCCGACGTCATGTGTGCAGCAGTGGGCCCCTGTTGAATTAACCTTTGATGGTGGGCATCACCCGCGGGGGCCGTGCCCACTTGTGTCCCAGCAGCATAGGTTGCATTTTTCTCTGCTGGGTTCCGGTAGTCGGGCCTGGCAGTCAGGAACGAGCGGTAGTGCCTGATTAAATACAGGTGGGGGCCCCGAGATCCGGACGTAATTGGTGCTACTTGGTCCTTGTCCTTGTGGCTACTTGTGGCGGACAGCTGGACTGTCCGCATGTCGGATCATGCTTTCTCTTTAACTTCAATGTGATTATTTTGATTGGTTCTCCTGTGTTGGGCAAAAAAAAATTTAGGAGAACGTTTCCCAAAAAAAAGAGTAAATTAATTTTCCTCGACGACTTCAAGATCCAGAAAATAACGGTGCAGACCTACAACCAAAAATATGAAAGCTAATTTTTTTTGGCGAGAAAATGGGGATCAAAAATAAAATAATTAGCACAAGTCTTGCTTTAATTCATCCAGAAGAAACTGCATGTGCTTTTCAAACGTACCAATAGAATCCCACTCGGTGAGTTTCAAAACGTCATCGGAAAGATCAGATTAACGAATTAAAGCTATGACTAGAATTTGGCATAAAATGATGCCCAAATGTACTGGAGCTTTTTAACAATCATGGTTTCTGCGATTTTCGGAAAATTAATAAGGAATTCTCCGATTATGGTAGAATTTTCCAGAGATTATTATTAACTTAAAATTCGTATAGTTATTACCATGTTTTTTAAATTTATGGATTTTCCCCACCCATGGAAGAAAAAAAAGAAAACATACTGTATTTTCGAAATGAAAAGTTGCAGTCAAACCTGTTTCACAGTGTTTCGAAAGAACAAGCAAAAACGCGAAGATTCCCACGGAATATATTTTGAGATATTTTTCCTTCTGGGTTCCAGGAAGTCATTCTTTCTGTTCGCTGTTTTTCTTGCGGATGTTTTTAAACGACCGGAAGGAAGAATCCCCTAAAAAAATAACGACTTCCTTCTTCTTGTCCCGCCAGAAGACAAAAGCTCAACAGCAATATAAATGTGACCATGAATGAATGAAAATGTCCTTTCTGTGAACTGTGAAGTGATGATGAGAGAATACTGTATAACATTTCTTTCCAAATTGACAAAAACTTGCACAGTTCCCTGCTAATCCCGTTTCTTCGACTGTTGTGCGAATTCAAAAACCGATCAAATTATGTCGCAATGCAAAAAGATAGCCCGAAGAATATGCAAAATGAATGCAGCAAATTTCCCTCTCTTATTTCATGTCAGAAGATATAAATGCTTGGGCTTTCTGACATTTCTAATGGACAGCCATAATGAGTGGAAAAAGCAATAGAATATAGTGGATTTTTCTTTAGACACAGCAACTGAGCCGAAAATTTCGAATGAACTTCGCATTGAGGCATTTTTTTATTGTTGGACAAGCAACTATAAAAAGGGAAATATTTTTGGGAACGGAAAAAATTAAGAACTGGAACAGCGACTCAATAGTTGGAAAGACAAAATTTAAAACAAAGTCTTTAAGATTAGTACTAATTAAGTTACGTCTGTAAGGGTGTTCTAAACAACACCGTAAGAAGGTTTTTAAAGAGAACTACGGAAATTTAGAAGTTACTAGGTACAAAATACAGTATTGTACTGTTTTAAAGTATCTAGCTGAGATGAGAAACAATTGCATCAAAAATCACTTCATACCTATTTATGGTGGCCAAGTTGAGTGAAAATTCGCCGACAAGAAAATGTCTCTATAACTCAAATTAAATACAGTATATATTTCTCCCGAATTTCCAATATAGGATCTCAACTTGTTATTTCGCTTTCAACGAGTGATGATGGAGTTGCGAGATAATTTACAGAAGAGATTGAGAGGTAATTCAGTGGCAGGGACTAGTTTCAACGAAAAAGACTTTGAAAGATTAACAGCCAACTACTTGACCGGAAATGGGATGTTCCAAATGATGCGGCGGTCGTGTGCGGAAATGCCGGATCCGAATCACTTACATCCGTTGCAGCCTTCCTATTATCCACATGTTCGAAGTAAGGGACTCATATTCAGTGAGATTATCGATCAATAAGAATAGTCAAGTACTGAAGATAAATATATTTTTGACATATTTGTTCAGCGAGAAGGACTTTTGTTATTTGCGAGCGTGATACGATGTGCACATATTTGTATTCAGTCACGCGCTTGGAAAATTCCAATAATTCGCACACAAGGAAAATTCGGTGTTCGTGTTTCACGTAATAAATACAAATAGGCCTCGATTCTTAATCATTCATAAGCCACGAATATTTTTCAGTGTACAGCAATAAATGTAGAGAGATTCTGAAGCGCTTTTCCGGCGTTTACAGGAATGAAGACCTATTTTCCTTGACGGTCGTGAGTGTCAAAGCAAATCAGCGAACACTGTCGTAGAATTCAACTACGTCACCGAAAAAAAATAAATTATCCGATTGAGCTTCAATATGCGGTATTCAATTGTTTTCGGTTATACAAAAAAAATCCGTGTTCGAATAGCGTTTACTTTTCCTGTTCGATCTGAGTTTTTCTTTCAAGATGTTTCGAAATGGAATACTTGATTTTTTACGGACTCATCATCAGAAAGAAAAGTACTCCTGAACGCAGGCATCAGTCGTGGAACACTGAATTTCAAATTTTAATTTCTACGTACAGTATTTCGAAAATTAAACCTGGGAGAGCGACGAAAAAGGACGCGTGAGACGCAAAAACGACTCAAAATGTATCTCTCCAAAGACTGCACAGTCCAAAGTTTCTGACAATCTTTGTTAATAGGCATGTTCCATTCAAGTGTGGGATGAGATTTTGCGTTGATTTATCTGGAAAGGTTGAATAGGAAACCGTGATTACCGATTTTCATGCAAGATAGTCTCCGCTTCCAAGCGGAATCTTAATCGCGGCGAATCGTAGCGAAGAAAAACATTATGTAGTTCTGATCCTATTTGTGGGATTTTGAATCTGAAACCAGGTACTGGAAACAGTTTTACGAATATTCAACATTTTCCTTCTTTTTTTTTTTTAATGGACAGGCATCTCGGCGTCGGACTTGAGTAGATCTGAATCCAGGCGTTGGAGCGGGGAACGAAGCGACACCTCCGAGGACTTGGGTTTCGTTAACAACAGCAGCCGAGAAGATCTTATTCCCAGACAACAACAACAACAACCCCGTTGGCAACACCATCATCAACAGCAACAACAACAACACCCGCATCTTCCAACATTCGCCTTCTCTGAGATGACCAACATGAGTGACCCCAACGCAGAGACCTTTTTCGGGCTCAACAAGGCCAAGGGAGACACCAGTGGCCCCCCACAGGTTTGTTCCATGATTGAAAAAAAAACATTTTGAAGATTCACATTGCAGATTTTCTGATTATACCCAGACTAAAGACAGGGTCTATAAGATAATTAATTAGATACAGTGAAACACCAAGATGTGAACATGACTGGTGTATCAAGAGTGTCCCTAAAAAGTCCAAATGTCCCCATGTTGAGTTTGGTTTTCCCATAGACTTACATTGTGTAATTTTCAATTGGCGTTTTATGGAGGAAATATTCATTAGAATTCTGTGAAAAAAATTATGCAGTAATTTAAATTGATTCAGTGAATATCTTTCAACTCAATAAGAGTATTTGGAGCATTGAATACTGGTTTCAGATTCAGAACATTTAAAATTTAGCATTTGTAAAAATAAAATTCAAGTCACAAAAAGAAAAGGAAATCCCTCTAAGCTGGAGGCATTTTTTAAAAAGTAGCTGAATGTATGGGGAAAATACCAAGGATTTTTTCTTGCATAGATCTCAGGGCTGGAAATGTGCATTTCTTACAATTGAGCCTGATAAAAGTCAATTTTCCTGAAACTTATTGGAAATTTTATCACACAATGTCCACATGTTGAGCCACTGTCCACAAGTCTGGCCTTTTCTTATGCCTTTTTTTATCAGAACATGAATGTCCCTACATCAAATCATCTGCATGTTGAGGTGTCCACATGTGGGGGTCTCACTGTATTTCAATTTGGTCTGATTTCCAGCTGCTGCCAACGCAGAACAAATATTATTCCATTTACAGCAAAATCTTATCTGTTGAAAAAAAATCAAGTGTAACCCCAAAAAATCTTTGTAACATATACAGTAATGGGACTAAAACATGGTGTCTGTATCGCAGTGACCTTAATTATCAGTTTTTTGTGAAGAAAAATCCCAAATTTGCCTTGGGATGGAAAAGAACCCGCTGCCAAAGGAGGGTTGAGCAAGTATTAATTTTAATTAATCCTATTGATTTTCCGGGTTTTTCAAGATGCATGAACCAGAAGATAGCTGTCCTCGAAAAGCAAATAAAGAAAGGTCACTTGAAAGGATGGAACATGTTTTCCCTTTGCAATGACGTTTATTCTCAGATATGATAATTACAGCAGTATTGTTAAATAAATCATGAAAGTGTCCTCGAAGGCGAGCCAAAAATTACCAGAAATTTATTGACACGAAAATTATTTTCAGGTTCAGAGAACAACTTACAAGACGGAGTCATTGTTCTTCATAGACGGCATTCGAGAGATTGACTTTGTCTTGGCCTACAAGGACTATCGGTATGACACAGACGAAGAAATGAAAGCAGAAGAACAGCGAATATTCGAGAAGAACATCAAGGATGCTGGATTACAAATAGAAAGAGTCGATAAACGGGTAAATCATGCACAAAAAATGCGTGATTACTTGATTATTCAATCAAATATGTGTAATTGAAAGCTTAATGAATTCTATTTATTCCTCCTTTTCATCGCCTTATAGTACTCGAAAGACGGGAAAACGTACTTCATAAAAATTCATGCGCCTTGGGACGTTTTGACGAGATACGCGGAAGTCCTCAACATCCGGATGCCAATCAAGGTGAAGCAAAAAATCAAGTTCGAAGAACTTGTTATGCATTGAAACGAATTGCACTATTTTTATGCAGATCATGAAAAAAAACGAAGGAATTTTGAAGGAACATACCTCAAGCATGTTGCCACCCATTAATGTTTCTTATTTATTTATATCTTCTCTGGCTTTTCTTTTGATGTTTTTTCTTGATGTTTATTGTCTTTTTACCTCATGGTTTTTTTATTTGATTGTGAGTTTTTTTGGGTTCACGCACAAGACCGTTCTTCAGTTCATGTTCCTTCTTCATGTGCAGTTTTATTTTGAATGATCAATGTTCAATTGATTGATTTACAGTGAGACCCCCACATGGGGACACCTTGACTTGTGGACAATTTGACATAGGGACAATTATTTTTCCATGAAAAATTAATAAAAAAGACCCAACATCATGACACTGACTCAATTTGGTGATAAAATTGCAAATACATTTCAGGCCAAATTACAAGAAACAGATATTTCCAACCCTAAAATTGATGTAAGGAAAGTTCTTTGGCATTTCTCTCACAAATGTACCAACCGTTCAGCTGATTTAAAGAAATGATCTCCAGCATAGATGAACTTCCTTCCCTCTTTTTCACTTGAATGTTATTTTTACAGAGAATGCCAACATTTCTATGTACTTTACAGAGGTATCAGTATTCAATTCCCCAATTGTCCATATTGTATTGAAATATATTGATTGAATCAGTTTAAATTGGAATTTTTATCTTCATGAAGTTATGGAGAGTATTTTGTACATAAAACAGCAATTAAAATTTATATAATGTAAGTGTAAGGGAAAATACGGCTGGACTTCAGGAAATTTGAACTTGGGGACACTCTTGATGCACCAATTACATTTGCATCTTGGGGTCTCACTGTATTTATGCTGTGTCTTCAAATCTACTCGCAAAAAATCTTGAANTAATTAATTGATGGCTGATAATGAGGCTCCGGGAGGATCCAAGGTCAAATGTGCACTCGTCGCTCTCAATTTTTCTAGAAAATTGTACTTGAAGTATACAATACCTAATTTCGGGGTTATCGAAAGATATTTGTAAAGAAAAGGCAGTTGAACACGCGAAGACTGCAGACAAATAAGACAAGGATCGACTTTTTAGTTGTAAAAAAAATACGAAACAAGTTTTCATTCCATGGACAATGTTCTATGTATTTTTGGACTTGACGTGGCTTTCTGATTATTGCAAAAAAAAAAATTTTTGTGTTCAAATTTTTCTGTCCTGCTGCTTGACGCAAATTTTGTGTCCGTGTATAGAGCTTTGAAGTTCTCAGCAGTCAAGCTTGGGTGAGTGACATTCAAATTTCCAAACGTTTGTTTTGCAACATTCTTCAGAATAATGCATTGCCAATACTTCTGGAAATTACGTCATTCCTTTTTCAAATTAAAAAAATGCATTAGGTTGATGTTGAATAAAAGTACTATTTTAATTTATTCATGTGCGTATAATGACTGAACCCTTCATTGTGATTTTAATTTTCTCATTACTCTTACGTGCATCAGAAAATTGTTCTTTTCTAAAATTATTATTTCGTAGGTGACGCTATAAAATTTTTAATAAATAAAAGTTTTGGCGCTAAGGTCAACTTGCTCGTTTGGCTCTTTGCAGTCCCTGAGACCAGAGCGTAAACCCGTAAAAAGCTGATGCTAAGCTGATTGATTCCCCCAGAACCGGATTATTTCACTGCTGCCTTCACAAGATCAAAGGAAGACAGGTTGGTAACCCTGCGTGATCCAAACTGGAAAATCGTACAGAAAAAGAAATGCAAATTCAAATTTACTACATGCGGGAAAATTCTACGGATACTTTCATCACACCATGCATATCATTAATTCTCTCTTTTTCGGGGGGACATTCGCTGAAAAATATTGTATGATTTTCAAATCGGGAAACGAAATCTAAAATATACCGTATTACTGTATTTTTTACAGATACATCATAAAACACTCTGAGGAAACTTACTCGAGTGCTCAACGAAGTTACATCGTGTATCAGATTTTGCGCAGGGCCAGGTTTGCCAAAATCGACGAAACCGATGAAGACAACCACATGAAATTCGGCATCCGGCGTCTCATCGGCAATGGCACTTACGATGCAGCTTTCCCTCTTCACGATGGACCCTTTGACAAGGATGGTCCCAATGGGCACAAATCCGAAAGACGGGTAAATAAATAACAGTTAACCATGAATATATGATGTGTGATGCAGAAAACGCCGATTTGAAGAAAATGCCGTGCTGCGAAAAAACGTCGGGAGATACAATGATAGCACGGTATAGAAAAAAAGGGTGCAGAAGAAAAATATCTGGGCAGAAAAAAAAAGCTCAAAAATGCAATTCAAATTTCAAAACAAGAAAATGCCGTGCTGCGAAAAAACGTCGGGAGATACAATGATAGCACGGTATAGAAAAAAAGGGTGCAGAAGAAAAATATCTGGGCAGAAAAAAAAAGCTCAAAAATGCAATTCAAATTTCAAAACGTTTCTCAAAAATCAAAACAAAAAATCCCAAACTTACAGAACATTCCTGTCAGGAATAAATCCTTGACAAATATATATGTTAGGGAAAAAGGTAAAATTTCAGATTATTTGTAAAAATGAAATGACAGAATTCAGTTGGGCTGCTGAAAATTCACCCTATTTTAAAGTTGTTGTACTTTGAGAATATTCAAATCACGCACAAATGGTTTTTACGCGTAAAACATTTGAGTGAATCACACAAGAGCTGGAATGGAAGTGAAGTTTGTATGCAAATTTGGAAAATAGGAAAACTGTCCTTCAAGGACAAAAATCAGCAACCAGATTTCAGCAGTAAAAGATAACCTTGAAGGCTTCTGAAAGAAATGTGAGAACCAAGGTTTTCCTTGATTCTCACACAACAATAAAGGAAGAGGATTTTCCGGAGAATTTGGTTTCTCTGATTTTGTGTGACAAATACAGCAATTTATTTTTTGCAACAATTCCTGCACACAGAATCAATGCCAAATTCATAATTGCAGACCAACCAACATACAATTACGATTTCAATTATTAATAGCAAAACTTCAAAAAAATTACGCAGAAAAATAATGAAGAAGATGCCACAGACAACCTGTAAAATGCACGACATGAATAATCCATTAAAAACGCATAATAGACAATTTTAATAGCCCGACAAAATCTCCCCCGACGTTTCCTCTCTCCGGCATTTTCTCCGCCTCGGAAAAATTAAACGCGGCACTTCAAACAGGCCTCAAATGATGCATGCCTGCATGAAAAAATGTAAAATTCTACGTTGCGATTTAACATCTTTTATGATAATTTTGAAGACCGCATATTTCCCCGGAAACTGTAAAATTTTATCGTGGCGCATTTGCAGTAGAAATTTTTACTCGAAAAATAATCGAATGCCACTGAACTTGAAAACATGGTGCAGTTTAAAAAAAATGCTGTCCCCGATTTTCGTCGAGTTCGAGGCTCCTAATTTACAGAAAAAACAAGCCGCGACGAGAGAACACGCGGAAACTCGACACCGAGTTCGACAGCTGTTGAAGTCGACAAAAAGCCATAAATTGAACACTTGTCCTCCTTTTCTGCTCTCCTCTCCTCCTTCTTCTTCTTCTTCTTCTGCCTTTTTTTCGGGTTCCGCGAAAAAGGTTTTGTTTGAAGAATGGGCTCGGGTGAAAAAGTGGTTCAAGAAACAACCCCTTTGGGTCGTAAGGCGCTACTTCGGCGACCAAATCGGATTGTATTTCACTTGGCTCGGTTTCTACACCAGGATGTTGATCCCTGCTGCGATTCTCGGCTTCTTTACGTTCATTTTCGGCATTTGTTTCATCTACTCGGGCGAAAGTATTCCGAGGTTGGTGTCATGTTCATGCTTTGTTTTTTTTGTTTTTGTTTTTTTTTTTAAACCTTTGGATGGTATTATTTTTTCTGTATACAGTATACACACGAAATGCAAAATCAAACTCTGTCGAAAATCTAGGTACAATATGTTGAGAGATTCGAAAGAAATAAAATATCTTGCCGATTAGAGTTTCGGAGTGGGAAACCTTAAACAATTCTGATGAATTTTAATTTGCGATAAAAAGCAATTCAACGGAGACGGAGGTCAGTCCATATGGACTGAAGTCAATATGAAAAAGCTTTAAATAAACAAATACATTCATTTTTGCTCATGCAATTGCAAGACGAATTATTTGAGAATATCAGTATACTGTACAATTGAAAGCTTTTTTTTAAAATTATTGATGAAACCGACGAAAGATTTCTTGAATGTTCCTAAATTTACATTGCTTTTCTCTTTTTTTTTCATCCTGTGTTCATAAAATAATGGCCTAAAAACAAAATTCGAGTGATACCCAGGTTTGAGGGAGAAAGCCTTTGAATTTTAATGTAGTATTTCCGAAAGAAAATTCAGACAGGGACTTGAGAAAGATTCGAAATAGGGACTGTTGGACATATTGGAGTGTTTCACATTATCAAGGCTCAACTGTATTTGTACAGAATGATAATTGAAAGTGTTTAATAGGGTCATAGAGGGAATAACCCACAGTGATTGACTTTTCCGAAGCACTTAATTTAAATCCCCGCGAATTGCACCATGGTCATGAAAAACATTCCGACGAGGGTCCCAACCTTGGCTAGTTTTGAAACCCCGAATTACCCAGTTTTTTTCTTTTTTTTAATTACAACCTGTGAAGTAATGGTACAGTCCTATTTCGTTGCTGTTTTTAAAAAATGGGTTTGCTCACAGCCAGGAGATTTGCGACGAAAAAGCCGCGGGGAACCTGAAGATGTGTCCCTTGTGCGACAAGGCCTGCGATTACTGGGATCTCAAGTCCAGCTGCACTGTTTCCACCATCACCTACTTATTCGACAACCCGATCACTGTTTTCTTCTCCATCTTCATGTCGTTTTGGGGTGAGTAAGGGTGTCGAAGGACGAAGGCGCCGTAAATCTGAGGGATAAATTGCCCATTTAGTCTCGACGTCGATGACGCCGTCAACAGCAATTTATTTTTTTTCCTCCCCTTGATGCTGCTCGAGGTTGTTGTGTAAAACAATTAGAGGAAGTAACAGCTGTTGGTTTACCAGTATAGAGACGGCGCGTTGTTTTTTGTTGTTGGACTCTTCACATTTTTTGTGCGTGTTTGGAAAATGATGCTTAAAATTTATCGTTTTCTGGGATGTGTGAGTTTGACGCATTTCTTGAGAGAAGTTCGCTTCTCTTGCCGGTTTTTCAGAAGCCTCTTGATTTTGTCAGCATTGATTTTGTGAAAGAGTGTCTTGGTGGAATCTTGTTACAACAAATCTTGTCATAAATTTTTTAGTTACGACAAAGTTGTTTTTCTGGTCCCTGTTCAATAGCAACATTCAAATATAAAAAAAAAGAATTTCTTGTTGGAACAATGTTTTCCCAGTCCCAGCAGCTTTGTTTTGACAAGATTTTACTACAATAATTTCCATTTTCAGAGAAGAAAAAAGGATCAGCTTTTCCCACAATAATTCATATAATCCTAAATTTGAGTGAATATGAAATACAATGAGACCCCAAGATGCGGACGTAACTGGTGCATCAAGAGTGTCACCAAGTCAAAATGTCCCTACGTCAAGTCTTGTTTTCCCATAGACTTACATTATATAATTTTTAATTGGTGTTTTCTAGAAGGAATATTCTTCAGAATTTTCTGAAAAAAATTGTTTGCCACTTGAATTTGAATTAGTGAATACATTATCAACTCAATAAGAACATTTGGAGCATTGAATAGTGTATCTCTGTACTGTACGCTGAAATTTTGGCATCTACAAAAATAACATTAAAGTGAAAAAAGTAGAATTCTCTCTATGCTGGAGGTAATTTTTTAAATTAGCTAAATGGATGGTAATTTGGTAAGAGAAATGCGGAAGAACTTTTCTTACATAAATTTTAGGGTTGGAAATATCTGTTTCTTGTAATTTGGCCCAAAATGTATTTGCAATTTTATCACAAAATGTCCTTCCATTCAGTCCGTGTCCTCACGTTGGACCTTATTTATTGATTTCTTAAGGGAAAATAAAGAGTCCCCATGTCAAATTGTCCACAGGTTGAGGCGTCCGCATGTGGGGGGTCTCAATGTAAACACAGCACTTGTGGTATTGAAATGCAATTTTATTGAATTTTCTCCCAAAAGCAACCATGTTTATTGAGCTGTGGAAGCGGAAGTCCGCAATCGTGCAATGGGAATGGGATTTGGAGGGCATGGAGGAAGAGGAAGAAGCCCGACCGGAATTCGAAGCCGAGGTCAAGACCAGGCGCCTGAACCCGTTGACGCAAAGCATGGAACCCTTTTTACCCCGCTGGCAGAAAATTGCACGAATGATGACCGTCTACTCCATTGTGCTTTTCCTGGTGAGAAATGTGCACTTCATGCATTTCACCGGTTAGCGTGACAATAAATAACAGCTCGATGGAATTGCCGAAACGGTATATTAGCGCAACTTTCGCATGCACGCAAGTCACTTCTCTCTGAATAATTCCCTGGAGTCTCTTGCTGAATTATTTGCCAACATTTTTATACCTGAAGGCGAAAATTGTTTTTTTGTTGTTCTTGAATCAGCGATTATGAATAATTTTATTCGCGAAAACTGTTTCAATCGCAGCTTTTCCTACGAGTCTAGTTCTGCTGCCTATAATCATGGAAGAAATCTTTCATGTAAGAAAATGGATTTTTGACAAAACCGCTTCTCCAGTTACTAAACCAAAGGTCCTAATCCGCTTTGGAAGAGAAGGCAAAAAAGGTACTTTTTTTTTAGAAAACACTGCAGTGATAAACCCTGAAATGATGTAATATATTCTAAAATCAACGCTGGCCTTTTTTAGATTCGCCAATTTTGTAGTTACTGTGGCGTGATTCAAGGCAAACATTTTAGCTTTTCCAGTTGAAATCATCATCTGGTAAATTTGTACATCATATCTGTGTTGTTCCAGTGTTAGTGTTTATGCTTGTAGATGTCGCTGGCAACGGTTGTAGCTATGGCTGCAAATTATTGTTGTTAAACAGTATTTCAAAGGAAAATATTTATTAGCCAATTTATTTTTTTCAGCTGACTCTCGTAATTGCGAGTGTTTTCGGAACAATTGTCTACCGACTGACCTTCGTTGCGGTGATCCAAAGCCTGTCTGACGAGAACCACAACACCTTTTTTGCAAAAAATGCCAAAACGATTGCGTCCATGTCCGGGGCTGTTCTTAACTTGATCGTCATCGTCATATTGAACTACGTGAGTAGTTCGAAGCCTAAATATGTTTACTATATAGACATACCGCATATATTATGTGATTTTATTTCATATGCCAACAGATTTATCAATTCATCGCAACCAGATTAACCAACATGGAATACCCGAGGACTCAAACGCAGTTTGAAGATTCATACACCATGAAGATGTTTTTGTTTCAATTCATCAATTACTACTCCTCGCTCGTCTACATCGCTTTTTTCAAGGTAAAATCGAGTTTTTTTTTTAAATAACTAAACTGGTATAAAAGCAGGGTGGCAGTTATTGTGGAAAAATGCACGATTTTATTGCTATTTTACTTAATTTCTGCTGATGAAAACCGCGACAGGATCATGTGATGATGCAATATCACGCGTTTTGAGAGGAAGTGAAGGACGATTAATAGGATAAATAAACTCTTGCCTTTATAAGTTCAACATCCTGTCTATGCTCATTCAAGAAGCAATTCAAGGCACTGAATTTCACCAATTACAATGTCCTGCAATTCTTAAAAAAATTCTCGTTTCCCTGCCGATGACTCGAATTCATTTCTGGTCCGCTGAAGTTCATTTGAAGACTTTCGACTGTATTTAAAAAAATTTTTTCGTGCGAGGTTAGAATTAACCCAAATCCGCTGAAAACATGTGAACACTCATGATCATCCACCGAGTGAGGGACCTAAAATACTTCGAGCCAATCTCGTTCCCCATTAAAAATTTCTGTAAATTCCTGAAACAATTCTTTAACTGTTGCAAGAAAATAAAATAAACGAGACTTCAAGCTCTCAGCTTTAGTTTTGAATGATGGAATGATTCCATCGAAAGTTCATTTTTACTTAGTGGGAAATGTTGTTGATTTCTAATTGAGATTTCATTTCTGCAGGGCAAATTCGCGGATCACCCCGGAAGCGTGCAATCCAGAGAATCTTACACATACGACCTTTGTGACCCCGCTGGGTGCCTTTTCGAATTATGCATTCAACTCGCCATCATCATGATCGGGAAGCAGGCATTAAATAATTTCACCGAAGTCATGCTACCGTGAGAAGAAAATTTGCCAATTTCGCTTTCCTGCAAGGTTTATTTATTTTTAATATTTTTTTTTACGCTCGATCGAATTTATGATTTCAAGGTATTTGAAGAGCTTGTGGCGACGGTGTACTCAAACGGAAGTGGAAGACGTGGATTTCAAAAACAAACAAAGCATCCGGTGGGAGGAGGACTACGAGTTGCAGTCTCTGGACAGAATGGCGCTTTTCGAGGAATACCTGGAAATGGGTATAATTACCAGCAGTCCTTACTTAATTGCTCTCATTATGGACATGATTTCACGGTTTAGATGCACCGAATACCACTGTCACCATCCCGTTGATTTTGGCAGAAAAACCTCCCCTTTGGCAAATTACTTATTATTGGCTGTTTTTCGAGGAAAGAAAGACAAACCTATGTTCCTGCAATCCTCGTCTTTTTTGTACAGTGACAAAATTTTTTTCTTGGCTAATTTTCTCTAGAGGTGAAGCATTGTAACAGGCTTGAAAACAACGTAGAAATTCCACCGATTATAATTTTTCTGTTATCAATTTGTGGACATTTCACATTTGCCAGTAAAATGAATTAAAATTGAGAACTTTACGAATAGTCTCTTTAAAGCATTCAAATTGATCATGATATAAAATGTTGCGGGATAATTTCTTCCAATACCATGCACACGACTTTCGAAAAATTCAATGAGCAGAAATGAGTCAGCATCACGTTTAAAGATAAACGAAAATAAATGCGAAAACAACTTGCTCAAATTTCAACATAATTTCATGTCAAATTTTGACACCCCTTTTAGGAGAATTGCTTCCCTCGAAGACAAAATGGAAAATTGTGAGCAACATTGAAGAATTGTGATAACCTTTGCCACAAAACCCATTTTTTTGTTTCCATACAATAAGAGGAACAGTGTTATTTGCATATCTGTGCTGTATTTTTCGTTACTACGACAAAGCTTTTTTCTGATGATCGCAATAATGGCTTCATCGAAAAAATAGTGTTCTATAAAACTCGAGGGGAAAACTAATTACAGAAAAATTATTTGTATTGATGGGCCTTGAGAAATTGTGTTTCAATCAAATTGATCAGCGCTTGTCGGCCAAATCTCATTACATGTGTAATATTAGCACAACAAAGTCCTTGTGACCTTGAACATCTTTTAATTTTACAATGCTGCAAAAACTGCTACCTTGTAACGATTCTTCCTGATTGTGCAATTAATTTTACTTGATATGAGACCCAGTCTTTTCCTCCATATAAATAAATATATAGAAGCGTAATTTTTTCGAGAAGAAATGATAAAGAAATACTGTACTGCATCTGATCCCGGTATTTTATCCCAGTCATCCAATACGGATTCGTCACTCTGTTCGTGGCGGCGTTCCCACTGGCGCCGTTCTTCGCAGTCATCAACAACATCGTGGAGCTCCGCCTGGACGCCTTCAAGTACGTGAGTCAGTTCCGGCGGCCCCTGGCGAAACGGGCCGAGGGGATCGGGGCCTGGTTCGGGATCCTCAAAGTTGTCACTTACTTGGCAGTGACATGCAACGTTAGTCAAAATTCAATCACAGTGTATTAATGTATTCATCTTCCTTTGTTGTCGAAAAGTAAATATTTTCCTCCCCCATTTTTGGTTATCAGCAGGGATTGAAAAAAAAAAATCGTTGGTGAGATACTGTAATTTCATTGTAGAAAACCTCTTCAACACCAGGAGAGAACCGCTCAGTACTAAAAAAATGAATAAAAAATAAAATATAAATTGCTAGCAAAGAAAATAATTGTGGACAAAAGTTTTTTTTAGGACTACAGTACTGTACTGTATGTAGGGAGTCAATTTCTGTATTTATTACTCAAGTAACACACACCCTTGAGTGAGACACAATAGACGATTTTCAGTCTAAAATTTTGATAAAATCATATCCCTGAGTGAGACATGTACCTCATTTTGGGTGACTTTAAAAACGAACATTTCAGAAAGCAGAGCACCGAAATTTGAATTTAGACATAAATTGAACCCAAAATCAAAATGTAAAAAAAAAATTCCCGTCAAAATACACTTTTCTGTTAAAATTGGTGAACGTTTTTCCATTAGAATCAAGTGCAATGGACACCAAAGCTTCTAAAACTTTTTGAACATTTTACATACATATATATTATTGGGCACAAAAAACCTCAATATAAATTGATGTTGAGTATTTAATTGATGAAAAATAAAACAAATTGATCAGTCTGGCACAGGAGCGGGATTCTGTTTTGGAATTCCTACGTTGAAGGGATAAACTGTATTTCACAAGTGTAAATGAATAAACAACTCAACAAGCTCAACTTGCAGGAATAATGGGAATAACTTGAATAACACAGTTGAACTGAATCTGATGATCTAAGAAAAATGCTCTTTATATTTGACAATTAATAATTAACCTTCACAAGGTTTGACTTTACAATCAGAGTAGGAAAAGTTATTGTTGAAGGTGCTGCCATATGCCAGGATGTTCCTGGCACTGCATTTTGAAGAGGGGGGAATACTTTTACTTCCAGGAATTATTTTAGAGTAGTTACTGTACACAGGGTGCATTCCCATTGCCCAACATCTATGATCCACACCCCCTTTTTTCCTCTCAATTTTGAAAAAAAAAAGATGCATGGCACTTGAGTAAATTGGGTATATACTGTATATTTTTCCGAAGTTCTGGAGTTTTCATCCACCAACATAATTGTGTGCCTCAACCCAGCAGTTCCTCTCCTCCTCCTACATTTTGGTCTTTCATCCTTCGTTTTTTTGGGGAAATCTGAAATTAATTGTTGGATTTTGTAAAAGGAATATTTCATCGAACCCGAAATCAACTAACTTTCGTTGTTGTTCTTTTTCTCAGGCTTTCGTCATCGCATACACTTCGGACTTCATTCCGAGGAAAGTGTACGAATACGTTTATTCCAGGGATGGATCTTTGAAGGGTTATGTGAACGCCTCCCTTGCAGGTAAAATACGCTACATGGGATGTTTAGGCTCTGTTAGTGGTTATAATAGTATTTTATAAATTAAAAAATTGTCACAAATAAGTGGAATTCCGAAAGCAATCCGACTTTCTTTTTGCTGAAACGCCTGTCGTTTGGCATCAAGCCTGTAAATATTTATACTGTTCACTGTTGCATTAGCAATATTAATTGGGTTAAAAAAAGAAGCCGTCTCAATATTACTCGACTATAGACCATTATTGTTGTATGTTGAGCAAGTCAACCAGTATTCATTGAATTTTCCGTGCTAAAATTGAATGATAAAATCATCTTAATCGCAAATTTCAGGATAAATGGCGTTGATTTAACAAATGTTTCCACATGAATTGCGCCTTGAATTGTTGCATAAGATTCAAACGTTGCATTCTTCACCTTTTCGATCTACAATTCTACAGTATCTCGGTTTTTATTCTATCTCTTGAGCAGAGGAAACATCATCTGACCACCCGACACAAAAATAAATGCTTCATGTACATCAGTTTGTTTATTCTCGTGTAGATGTCGTAGCTAATTTTCTAAAAAAAAGAAACAGGAACATTTTTTCTCATGAATGATCAGAGAAATTGGAAACTTCAACAATTTTTGTTATGTTGCAGTGTTCGACACGAATCATTTCCCCAACAGTTCTAGGACGAACGAGAAGCCACCGGCGTTTTGTCGTTATAAGGCATTCCGCAGCCCACCGACGACTTGGAGCTGGGCTCTGAATGGAACCGTACCCGGGGTAACCACACCCAGTGTGGGCTCCCAATATGACCTGACCCTCATGTACTGGCATGTTTTTGCGGCTCGTCTGTGTTTCGTCATCGTTTTTGAGGTGCGAAGGAAATAATTATTTTATGTAATGTGCAGTAGTAGAAACGCAATCAACAATTGACAAGGCTACACGCGAATATCAGGAAAACAAAA